ATAGAAGGTGGGTTTTTTTTTATCCAGTAAACTTTATTTATATATAACAACAGTACAAATGGTGTCCTTGGCTTGCAAAATAGGAGTGTTTCGTATTTACAATAGGTACACAATAATATATTAGAATAACCAAAAAAAACCCCATTTTATTGGAACATTTTAAATACTTAATTTTCTTACAGTTTTTTTTTTCCACAACACCTGTAAAAACAACAAAACCAGACAACTATCATTGTATTTTCTTAAAAATATATATAATACAGATTCCAGTGTGTCAAGAAGAGTGAGTTTGGGTAGGAGAAGTTGGGGGGAGAGGCAGGTGGGCTCAGGTCCCTAGTTTCGTGGGCTTGTCCCTTGTTCCCCAACAGACTTGCTAATGTCTGCCCTGTACAGAGGGGGACCACGTTCCACTATGTTCTCCACTTGAAATGTCAACATAGAGGGCAAATAAAGCCAAAGGCAGGGCCTTGACTGATGTCCAAAGGTGCCTCCCATCTTCCCGGAGGCTAGACAGGAGGAGTAAGCTTCACAGCAGAAAGAACAGAGCCCCGTCTGAAGGTGGAGCCCTGTTACAGCGAGGAGAAGGAGACAGACATCCATGAGAAGCCCAGAATCTCCAGTCTGCTTGTTGGGCTGGGGCCCTGTTTGACAAGCAGTGATCTCGATCAGTCAGCAACTAGGGCATCCCTGATACCAAGAGTGAAACTTTCATTCATGGTAACACTGAGGCCCGGGTGCTAAAACTTCCTCCTCTGGGGGAACCAGGAGAAAGTCAGGAGACCGAGAAGAGAGACTCTGGAGTTATGAAGGGGATCCTGCCATTTTTTCAAAGCTTGTTCCAGAGACAAGGCCCTGAACTTCATCTCCCCATCTTCCCGCGAGATCTGCTGCCACAGCCCTGTAACGATGAGGCTGTTTTGCATTTTCTCACCGCTCCCCTTCCCCCTGCCCCAAGAGCCTCGGCTCTTTCCCATCAGTAGCCAGGCTCCAGGCACCTCAGATGCAGCACAGTGTGCCTGGGGGAAAAATGGCCTCCCCCAGGGCGGCTGCTGGCCCAGTGTTTACCTGCTGCAGGTTAATGGGGGCCTGTGTGGCAACTGGGATGCACCTGGAGACTTCTCAGCCAGAGGCTTTCAGACATTCTCTTTTTGTTCTGCCCGGATCATTTTTAGTCCAGCACACCCATCCATCGCTTCTGCTTCATGCTCAGCAGGGCCAGAGGCCTTGAACGCTATTTCTTGTCCCCATTTGGTGGAAATGAAGAAAGGTCAGGAGCTCAAGCAGCAGGGGACGCGCCACCAGAAGGGACAGCGGCAGGAGAAATGATAGAGCCTCTCACTGCACAAGGAATGTCCCCAGAATAAGGTAAGGCAGCTGGGTTGGTCCACTTTCTTCCTTCTTCCGGTCCCTTTTCTGCACAACTCATGCCCTCTGCAGGTGGTGGGGGAGAATTTACCTACTAAGTTGGTGGCAGGGACCAGTAGCCTGGAGAGTGTAAATCTGCTGGAAGGTCCTTCTTGGTCTTATTCGTGGCTGTGTTTCAGCACCCAGAACAGTGCCTAGCAGATAGCTGCAGTGTATGAAGGTTCCCTGAATGGATGAATGTGGGAACCAGTCCCCACCCTCCAGCGAGGTTAACAGCTGATTCACACTTTGAATGACTGAGCTCTGCAAGGAAGGGGAGCTCTCTGCAGCGGTGGATCAGAAATGATTTGAGAGCTGTGCTGTGGGGAGAGGTAGGAGGGCAGACACAGAAATACCTGCCCTCCACCCCCATGCTGAGGGCAGAGGCAGCAGACCAGGTGAAGTGACCTGCTCCACCAAAATGGACATCTCGCCCATCTTCGTCTTGTCCGTTAGCACCTTCTGTCTTGCCAAGCACATTGCTGGGGGCCTTTTCCAGAGAACTGTCGCTGGTGCGGATTAACGAAACACAACAAAGCTGGGTTGGTTTTTGAGAGGCATTGCCCTTCCTGCCTCCCTCCAAGATGGCTGGCTTCGTGGGGGGTGGGGGCTGTGACTTTCTCCTTACATGAGCTCCAGATATCTCCAAATCGGATAATAGGGAGGAGAGAGGCCCATCCTACAGGCACGGACTCCATCGGTTCTTGATGACCCAAAGCCAAGAGCTGGTGGAGGAGGGACAGAGGGGAAGCTGGAGAAGGGCCAAGGCTTGACAAGTGTGCACCCTCACGGCCTGACTTGAGTCGCACTGAGTCGTCCTTTCTTGAATTCCTTCCTCAGAGACACCCCTGTGCCACTTCCTTTGCCGTCCCCACATGCCCCACGCTCTTACGGAATCCTGAGGAATGTGGCCAGACCATTCACGCCAGCTCTGGTTCCTCTCCTCTCCACTCTCCAGTTGGCTTATCCCCCATCCTTCTCCCCACTCTCCAAACACCTTCAAGGAACAGCCCCAGGGCAGCAAATAGTCACCCAAAGTAGCTCCTGGTTGACACTCGGGTGTCCACCCGAGATGCATAGAGGTAAGTGTTGGTTGAGAAGCTGTTGAAACGTCAAACTTCCTTTTCCTTCTTGGTGGAACAAAACCCCGGATGCTGGTCCGTGCAGGGGCGTGATCAGAAAACCTTCACTCGGAGCTCACATGTAACAGGAGGGCGGGCTGGGATTTTTCTGTGGGTGGGATCAAGTCCCCAGCTCACATGCCTCTTGCTCACATCCTCTCTCCTTTCATCGCCCTAAATCACAGGCTCCAAGCTGAGAAGCTTTGGGTGCTATGAAGAGCAAACACTTTGGCTTAGTGCGGAAGGCCAGTCATTAGTATTTCTTTCAGGCTATTAATAGGGTCCAGAGAAACTTTAGCAGAAGTGGATTATCGGAAGAAAGTGGCCTTGGCATGGCTGGTTGTGAATTATAATGAAAAGAGCGAGTTTCCTGAGTATTTTGCTGAAGGCTTTTCTCTTTCCCTCTGTCAGCTGCATTCAGGCAAGAAACTGGAGCTGAGGAGCCCGGGCGATGTCTGCTGTGTGGTTAGCACGGCACTCCACAGCCACACGCCGGGGACGGAAGCCAGCCCGCAGAGCTCCCCCTCCCCCAGTCCTTTCCTGGGAATCCAGTGTGGTCAGCAGAGCCTTTGGAAATTGGAATTGTTTGGAGGTAAATCATGGCACAGAGAAGCTGGGGCCCAGAGTTAATTACAGAGGAAATGACCCTGGTCTGGTCTCTGTGGGGCTGCCTGGTCCAGTTTCTCAGCACCGCGGGCCCTTGTAGAAAGTAGGAAGGGAGCGGTGGTCCTCTCCTGCCTGCCTCCTTCCCACCCCTTGGCCTTTCTCTCGCCCTCCTTCTCCTTCCCTCTGATGCTCTGACAGAGAAGCTGGAGCTGCCTGCTTGGATCCTTGCCAGCGTGGGAGGCCTGGAAACTCTGGTGGCTGTCCCGGTCACCTAGGTCTTGCCACCAACAGAGCCATGACTCCCGCTGGCTTTCGTGGCGCCTTTGGACCCGGGTGTGGAGCTTTGGTCTCTTGGTTTAGAAACTACACTCAGGAGAGTGGGTCATCCATGGTTTTAGGTGTCAGCAGAAGAGAGTGAGAAAGAAAGGAGCCCAGTGAGAAGCCACCCACTCGTCCTTGAAACTCATGAGGACAGGAGAGGCAGAGAGAGAGGCAGGAGACAGTAACGTGGGGATGCTACAGTCATTTCTACTGAGGCCAGGGCTCAGCCGACCAGGAGCTCCCACACAGGAGCGGAGGGCCGTCTCCCCTCTGCAGGCACAAGAAAACGATAGAAAGCGTCACAATCAACACGGCAGCATCTTTAACCTACGCTCTTCAAGTATTGCTTGCTGTAAACAGTGTCTGATTTTTGCTTTCTCTCGAATTGCCAAGAAACCACGGGCAGACTGGAGTGCAATCTAAAGCCAGATACCCATGTCGCCCAGTCAGCTCCCAGATGGAATCTCCCGG